CTCCAGCGAGATGGATCGGCCAGGTGGCATCATTGATGGACTCGGGGGTGGCAGCGGTAGTGAGATTGGCCCAGGATCGAGCATTGTTTCGTTCTGCTGTGCATGGGTCGCTATGAGTCGGTTCCGACTCGATGGCACCTGACAACAACAACAACATAGTCATCTTTTGGCACTGTGGGTTAATGCGCCAGACTGCAAAGCTGTTTGAACTGCAAGGTCAGCAGTTCAAGCTCATCAGCTGCTCCTCAGAAACCCTATACAGGGTCGCTATGGGTCGGAATCGACTCGATGGCACTTAACAACAACAACAACAACAACATAGTCATCTTTTATGTTGTTTTACAAAGATGTTTAAAATGAAGAATCATCAGTCTTGCAGAATTCTATCATGCGATTCCAGCGTCATTTCTATTACCAAGGCCACATTTTCCAACTACTGATCCTTCCTTTTTGTTTCCAACCTTGGCATTCTAATCACCAGTAATTATCAATACATCTTGATTGCATGCTTGATCGATTTCAGACTGAAGAAGTTGGTAGAATTCTTCAATTTCATCATCACTTACTTTAGTGTTTGGTGCATAAAGTTGAATAATAGTGGTATTTAACTGGCCTTCCCTGTAGGTGTTGTTGTTAAGTGCCATCGAGTCGATTCTGACCCATAGCGACCCTTTACAGGGTGTTTGAGGAGCAGCTGGTGAGCTTCAACCACCAAGCTTGCAATTCAAATGGCTTTGCAGTCTGATGCATTAACCCACAGCACCACACCAGGACTCTTCCTGTAGGCAAATACCACAGGGTGAGAAGAATAAAGACATTATCCATGAAGAGACACAAGCAGCGGGCTCCTAAGAAGTCAGGATGTGGAAACTTCACCTTCCTTACCGCGGACACGACCCAGGGAGGTCCATTCACTAGAGGTGTTGTTATGGTTGGTAAAGTAGAAGGTCAGCTAAAAGGATGGAGCCCCTCAATGAGGTGGAGTCAGTACAACAACAAGGACCTCGAGCGTACCAGCAATCGTGAAGGTGGCGAAGGACAGGGCGATGTTCCTTTCTACGATCCTTGAGGCCACCTTGAGTTAGAGAGACCCAAGGACAATGCACAACATAAGTAGGACATCAGGGCTGCTGGTCTAGCGCTCTGGGAATGTTACCTTGATCCCTGGCTCTAATACACCAGGGGATCATGGGATGCCTGTCAGCCAGGTGCCTTTAAGAATGAGGTCATTTAAGGAGGGACTTATTTTTCTCTATAAATCATGGCACTTGGAGCCCCGGTGGGTGGCAGACACAGAGGCTTACCATTCAGCCACTTGGAGTTGTACTGGGCCGTGCGGAGAGGAGGCAGTACACCGAGGCTCCGGTAGATGGCTGGGTCACGTCCAGGGAAGTCCATGGCTGTGGCGGCATACAGTTCCCCGCCTGCCGTAAGCAGGGCCGTGGAGTTGTGCTGGGGGCTGTAGGGGCAGCGGGCCATGCCACTGATCTGGTCGTGGACCTCCGTGAGGTTACTCAGCTGGGGACAAGGACCAGAGGGACAATCCGTCACCATGGGAGACCCTGGAGCAGGGTGTGTGCAGAGTGGCCGGAGCTCACGAGGAGGAGAGACTGACAGTGATGGGAACCGACCCTGCACTCACACACAGCCTGGGTCTGTCCCTGTCGCCTGTGTGTCCTTTTCTCTGTCTCTCTGTGTCTGTATATCTTTCCATCCCTGTCTCATTCTCTCTTTCCATATGAATCACTCTGTCTCTGTGTTTATCTCTCTCTCTCTCTGTCTCCCTCTGTGTGTGTCTCTGTCTTTGTCTCTCTGTGAATCTCTTGGTCTCTCTTTCTGTATTTGTCTGTCTGTCTGTCTCTGTTTCTCTCTTCCCCTCTCTCTGTGTATATGTCTTGGTCTCTGTCTCTTTCTGTGTGTATCTGTCTATCTGTCAGTCTCTGTTTCTCTCTCTCTCTCTCTCTGGCCTCTCTCTTCTGTGTGTGTCTGTCTCTTTCACCCCTGAAAAATCCTCGATCCCATGCTAGCTGAGACTCACACAATACGATGCAGGATTAGGACCTGCGGCTCCCATTCGCCATGTCTGCACATGGATGAGTTTCCACTTTAATAAGGAGACCAGCTTCCACACCCACAGAAGGGTCAATGACAATCACAAGTGCCCAGCACTCTCCTCTGTGGGAGGAAGCACAAGCAGGTTTGATGGGAGGAAGTGTGGCTGCTGAGCAGCACAGAGTTCTGTCGTCCCAGTGGGTGGGAATCTCCCCATCTGCTCTTCTGGCTCACCGACAGGTGCTGTGCCAACAGGCTGACAGGTAAGCGTGGGGGTAACTACCACTGGGGAACACCCCAGCTCTACCCTAGTGTGGGATCCAGGGAAGTTCCATACACCATTTACGCCTCTCCACTTCTTTATCTTGTTGGCAGTCATGATTAAATATAAACCAACACATCTAACATGTATGCAATGTGACAAGAGGTGTCTTTTGAATTAAACTACAGCTCTCTGCTGCGTGGGTGACTAAACCCTCCGCCCTCCTCAAAGCCACGCACAGGTCCGAGCTGAGCTACTCCTTTTGGTTTCTGAGCCTGTACGTCATCCTTCTGCTGAGGAGCAGCTGGTGGGTTGGAACCGCCCACCTGGCCGTTCAAAGCCCAGCGCTTAAACTCCAGAGCCACCAGCTGCATGGACATGCATACCAAAGCAGTATGAGGAGGCTCACCGTGCGGTTGGTGCAGACGGGCGTGAAGGCATTTGTTCCGCAGGTAAAGAGCCGGTCACCACTCACCAACAACACCCGGATGTAGTTCTGACATTCTTCCTGAAAAAGCACAGGACATAAGTTAACAGGATCCCAGGGTACGGAGGAATGGTGACGGATCAGCACGCGTTCGACTAGTAAGTGTGGGAACTTGTGACTGAGCATCACGTGAAAAGCAATCAACCCCTCGGGTATCAGCACTCAGAGCAGCCACCCAACTGTCCACTAGCCTAAGTCCCCATGCTGGCGGTGTGTGCAGCAGAGAATCGAGAACATTCCTGCAGGTTGGCAGGTCTTCGTCCAAGTAGTTTCATCTTAAATTGTATCTGATGGTACCGTCAGCTTTACGTTCCTTTGCGCATTGTTAGGTGTTGAGCTGTGTCTCCCACAAACGCGTGTGGTAAATCCTAGGCTCTGTGCTTGTGGGCGCCATCCCTCTGGGGCCCAGTGTCTTCTTTATTATGTTAGCGTGGCCCCAAGGGTGCAGGGAGGGTCTGGAGGCAATGACTCTGAGATATAACAGGAGTAGATATAAAGCGGGCCGACACGGGGAAGAGCGCCCAGAAGCAGATGTACGGATGAGCACACAAGGACCTTCCCAGAGCCTTTCCCTGGACCTGGCACCCTGAGCTCAGACTGGGAGCCCCCGGAACTCTGAGAAGATGCATCTGTTTGTGTTGTACACACCACATTGGATCTCTCTGCTTCCACGGTACTAGTTACCTAAGTAAGACCCGTGCATTAGGCAGATAGCTAAGGGACCTATTAGATGCCGATTGTGAGGATTCTGAAAAATGCACACTGAGAATGAGTGTGGCCACGGGGAGACACCCTCCGGCACTGACATACGGTTCCTGGATGGGGCCACACTATACAGCGTTTGAGGCATAGCAAGAATCTATAGCTTCCCTTTGTCCCCACGAAGGGCAAAGGAAGAAATCAGGACTATTTGGGATAAGAGCACACGGTGAGATTGAACATGAACCAGAACGGAACATACTGTGATTGCAAACTATTATGGGATATCGGGGGTCTGCATGCTCTAGTTTCCAGGTCTTTGTCCACACAGCGGGCATTCCTGATGACCAGAGGGCAGTGGTGGGCCGGGGGCGGAATCCCCGCTGTCCCTGCAGAAGGTTTCATGTCCGGCTGAGGGATCTCACGCACAGCCATCTCCAGTCTGTCCATGGAGGCTTGTGTGTGGCTCTGACACAGAAAAGGTTCCAACAGAGCATCCAGACTCAGACAGACTACGCAGAAAGGCCTGGAGAGCTGCTTCCAAAACTCAGCCCAGGGAAACCCCACACATCACAACTTCCTGATCCACAGCCAGTCATCAGAATGGCACGGGAGCATTTCATTCCACTGTGCAGGGGCCATCAAGTGCCGAGGGGGCAGAGCACGCTTACATGGGCATACCAGAGGTCACTAGGCTGAGCATTACACAGATGAGCGCATGCAACACGGAGGCTCACACAGACCATGGGGCCACGGGGAGTCTTTCCAGAGGGGAGGGCTGCAGATAAAGGGGCACCTACACTGGATGTGAACAACCCAAGGTGTTGGCACAGGGTAGACGTGCCAAGCACGCCCACATCGAGCCCACACCCTGTTCCTTACATGGCTTTGCCACACTCCTTGCCCAGGCGACTCCTCTCCCAGAAGAAACCTACAAGCACGTCTGTCTCTCTGTCCTTGGAGCACCCCCCCCCCCCCCGAGGGTCATTTGCTGTCACCTGAAGTCCAGCTCGCCATCACTTGCTGCGATATTTAGACATGAAGCAGATGTCCCTCAGGAGACTGGCTGAAGGAATTCTTAACTGATATAATAATCACTGCGGTTTCATTTCTCATCTAAGACATTCTTCTTGCATTCCACTGAGGAGCCTTGAATCCCGGGGAAGGGGCTTCGGTGATTTCTGAATCCCTGCATCAGCATGCAGGCTGCCACATGCGGGGATAAGGGAGGCACCCATCTGTCCTCTGACAATCCCCAGGACTCCCCAGGCCGTGTGAGTCGGTGGTCTCAGGGTGGTTGGCAGCTTGCTCTGGACTCTGACATCATGCCCACTTGTAGGGAGAACAGACAGGATGTGAGGCTGCTGCCCCATGAGAGAAAACACCAATCTGAGAGTTGTTTCCTTAATGAGTCCGTGCATTTTGCCATTCCCGAGAAGCAGGTGCTACTTCAAGAAAGATACACCCCACCCATCCATCAGGGCCTTGATTTCAGATGGTGAGGTGAGGGCTGGACCCTGGCAGCCTTTGTGTGTGACCAGGAGCAATGCTACTGCAAATAGTGCATCTTGCTTTGAAGGATGAGTTACCTTCATGAGCATCCCAATAGGAAAAGAACTTACGGGAATCTTCAGGCAGAACCATGCTAATCAATGTTGTGACTAGCCGGAGTATCTCAACAACTGTATCATCAAAGCAGTCTGGAACCAATCCATCTAGTCAGGTGGCTATTGGGCTGCTAACCAAAAGGTCAGTGGTTCGAATCCACCCGCCGATCCATGGGACCTAGAGCTGGCAGTCTACTTGCAAAAAGATGGACAGGCGCGGAAACCCTGTAGGTCAGTTCTCCTCTGTCCTGTGGGGTCACAGGAGTGAGCTATTTCCAAATGAATGAAATATAAGAGACTTTATTTGAACAACTTCCTGAATCCCCAAATTACCGCCCCCCTTCCCTTTTATTCAGTAAGCTGCAAGCCGCTGCAGACTAAGCCACCCAGTGTCTCCAACATGAGCTGGTCTGCTCTATATGACTGATTTACAACCACCTTTCAGCACAAGTGTCCCAAGCCTGAGACCTAGATAGATGTTCCGACCCTGGTCCTTGGAAAGGTCTGTGGGCAGCACAAATGGTTAGTGCTCAGCTACTGACAGAAAGGGTGGTTGTTGTTGTTGTTATGTGCTGTGGAGTCGGTTCCGACTCATAGCGACCCTGTCAGGGTTTTCCGAGGCTGTAAATCTTTACGGTACCAGAAAGTCTCATCTTTCTCCTGCGGAACAGCTGGTAGTTTCGAACTACTGACCTTGTGGTTAGCAGCCCGATTCATAACCACTAAGCTACCAGAGACCTAGGGTGGTAGGGCAAATAAACACCATAGTGCTGCAGAAGAAAGTCCTGATGATCTGCCACTGTAAAGACCAAACAAATCGAAAAGGAAACCAACTGCCAACAGGTCGACTTCAACTAATAAACTAGAGGCCAGAGTAGAACAGCTCTGTAAGGTTTCCGGGAACAGACTGCCTCATCTTTCTTCTGCAGAAAAGGTTTGAACCACCAACTTTTTCAGTTAAGCATCCCAGTACAGCCCACTACGGCACTGGGAAAAAGCCCTATACCAGAGCAGTTCCAGCAACGTGATGGAAGCAGGTTTGGGTGTTGATTCCCCGGGATTGCAGTTTTGCCAGGAGAGACTGGGCAGAGAGAGACTTCTCCTTTCTCACCCAGCTCAGTCTGCGGTCAGCACCTAGGTCATCCTTCAAGAAACCAGCGGACCTGGCAGAAGCAATCCCACTGCCCCCCACGCCACATCCTGACGCTGCCAGAGTAAAGCACATTGCGAGAATCCCCAGACAATACTTTTCTTAGGGTCGGAAAATACCAGTGCATGTGGTATTCATCCCATCGTAGAGATGTTTCAGTTTTCATTATTCTTTCTATTTCAGGGAGAAGGGGACCTTAGTTACGTCTGGGGAAATCCTCCAATCCTACAGCCAAAGCACATCTATGAAACAGTAGGGGCCTCAATTCCAAACTTATGCCACAAAGACACATCTGAACACCACAGCCCTAAATGCTATTGTTGTCCATGAAAAGTGCTGAATTGGGAAAATAGGCTGCAAAAGTCGTCTTGAAAATGTTCAAGAGCAAAAACATCACTTTGAGGATAAAGGTGTACCTGCTCCAAGTCCTGGGATTTTTAATAGCCTCATATGCATGTGAAAGCTGGACAATGAATAAGGAAGACCAGAGAAGAATCTATGCATTTGAATTATTGTGTAGCTAATAATATTGACAAAAATCCTCACCACTGACCAATAAACAACATTCTTACCAATGGAAAATACTGAAGTTGTCAAGGACTTCATTCTTCTTGGCTCAACCATCAACACTCATGGAAGCAGCAGTCAAGAAATCAAATGATGTATTGCATTAGGCAAATCTGCTGCACAAGACCTTTGTAAAGTGTTGAAGAGCAAAGATGTCATCTTGATGACTAAGGTGTACCTGACCATGATATTTTCAATAACCTCGTATGCATGTGAAAGCTGGATAGGAAGACCACAGATGAATTGATGCTTTTGAGTTGTGGTGTTGAAGGAGAATATTGAAAGTGCCATGGGCTGCCAAAAGAACCAACAGATCTGTGTTGGAAGAAGTGTAGCCAGAGTGCTCCTTGGAGGCCAGAATGGCCAAACTTCGTCTCTCATACTTCAGACATATTGTCAGGAGGGACCAGTTGCTGGAGAAGGATATCATGTTTGGTAAGGTGGAGAGTCAGAGAAAAAGAGGAAGACCCCCAGTGAGATGGACTGGCAGAGTGGCAGTATCAGTGGGCTCAAGTGTGGCAACAATAGTGAGGTTGGCCCAGGATCGGGCACTGTTTTGTTCTGTTGTGTGTAAGGTAGCTATGAGTTGGTACCAACTCGATGGCACCTGACAACAACAACAAGAAAACTGAAAGTACATAAAGAACAAACTGATCTGTCTTGGATAAAGTACAAGCAGAACGTTCCTTGGCAGTGAGGACGGTGAGACTCTGTGTGTCTCATCCTTCAGACATATTATCAGGAAGGACCAGTCCCTCCCTGAAGGAGGACATCATGCTTGGTAAAGCGGAGTGTCAGAGAAAAAGAGGAGACCCCCACTGAGAAGGTCTGACACAGTGGCGGCAGCAATGGTCACAGGTGGCAGCGATGGGGAGGGTGGAACAGAAGCGGGCATCATTTGGTTCTGTTGTACACAGGGTTGCAATGCGTCAGAACTGACTCAATGGCACCTACAATAATACAACCATTAATACTATTTAAGTCTAACTGACTCTCTGCAGGGTTATCAGAATTGGCCCCTGGGACTGTCAGACTGGCTCCTCCCTCTGGTGAGGACTGCCAGGTGCCCTCCACTGGTTCAGCGGATCACCGTCTTCCGGCTCTGTATCTGACGTGCCCCACATCTCCTACAGCCTACACAAGGAAACACGAGGCTGTGGCCGGTCTAAAGATGGGGTCTTATCTGCAGGAGAGCACAAGCCTGAGTCTATCCTCACCCTGCTGGCAGCCCCCAGTGAGTCTTGGAGTCCAAGACTTATGACGGTGCCTCACTTAGTGTCTGTCCCTGAATGTGTATGGGTGTCTGCTCCCAGCAGACCACTTAGAGGGATGAGGTTTAGGACCACAGGAAACCCTACTTCCACACAGGGTCCAGGCCACAGGAATGGACTTTAGGACGTATTCTGGGGGCCACAGTCACCATTGTCAGAAGCAGAGGAATGCTTAGTATAGCAAACGGAGGAGCAGAGGTCACAAAGAAACTTCTCTGCAGCTCCGTAGCAGCCCTGCCTATGCATACACTTCCTGGGTCACCTCGCTCATGACCTGGAACGTTTTCAGCCTCACTAGCTGATTTCTGTAATTAAATCAACAAACCTTCCTCCATAGTTGGTCTTCGTCTGGAAACTCCCCTGTTCAGCGTCCAATCATCATCACACAAGCCTCCACCGACAGATGGGTATTAGCTGCACTGATTGGGAATGGAACCAGGGTCTCGAGCGGCGAAGGTGAGAATTTCACCACTGACCTCCTATAGGCTATTTAACACTGTAGGTGAGTCAGTATGTTTAATGCCCCCTGAAAACACACTTGATGCATCTGTCTCAGGCTACGATGTTCAAATCCACCTTCATCTGCCTTAAGCGTATTAGCAGTAAAAATGTTCAACCCCCAGAGACAGTATCAACCAATGAGCAATTAGCAGGGCAGGCCATCATTCTTCAACCAATGAGAACTAAAATCAGATGAAACGGCTGGATGCTGTCATTTTCTTTCTGTGGGTGCAGAAACTACAGCGGCGTTCAGAACGGTCTGGCCCTTTCCGTGAATCAAGGGCACCTGAGCTCTGAGTGTGAATGACGCCCTTTGCCTACTTGTTCTCGGGTTCTGTGTCATTGTTGTTGTTAGCTACCCTGGAGCTGCTTCCGACTCATAATGACCCTGTGAAAGTGCTACCCGGTCCACACCGATCTAGCTGGTTGATGGTCTTCCTCTTTTCCCAGAGCCTTCCACTTTACCAAGCACGATGTCTTTTTTCAGAGACTGGTCCTTGCCACTTTAAAGAGGTCTTTGCCCAACGCAACACGCCATTTCATTCCCAGACTGTTGCTTCCATAGGCACTGATTGCGGATCCATGTACACTGAAAATCCCTGGCAACTTTGTGTGTGTGTTTTTTCTGTGGTTTCCAAGAGCACCTGGTGGATTTGAACTGTCAACCTTGTGGGTACCAGTCCAGTGCTTATGCTACAATAGCACACCAGGGCTCAGAAAAGCTACGCTAAAATAGATTGGTCAAAACCGAACTCTCTAATCATTTCCTGATATAATCTTTCTATTTACTGTAGAGGTTATTTTCTGAAGTTAGCAAAGACATACATGGGAACTTAATGTATTAGTTTAGAATTCAGGATCTTATTTTTGTCACCATGAGATCACAGGCAACTAATATCACATCTCGGTGTAGTACATCAAAGTGCCATGAGATTGGATTTTCTTGTGTTTTTGGAAGCCGGTGGATGGGTGTGCTTCATTTTGATATTAGGAAGCTGAGGATGGTTGCATCTCACAACACTTGCAGCCTCGGAGGCCCTTACCTTGGACTTGCCCTTGCTGTAGCAGGCTTTCTTGGTGGTCTCATCACACTCCCAAGCCACAGCCTGCAGGAGAAGAAAACAACAGCCATTATATGAATGTAGGGGAAACATAAACACGGTATCTGCTAATCAGATGGAAAACGTGGCCAAGCAGGGCTGCACCACTTTGGGACTAATACAGAAGACACCCCCAATAGTGAGCAGTTTTCCACCGGGGCTTATATTCAGCTTTAAGATGAACGTGCGCTGAGCATCTGCTTTCCAATTATAATTGTGTGATTGTTCAGCCTCTTCTCGTTAGCGGCTCTGACTCACAGAGACCCCACACACGATGCAACAAAACACTATCAGCTCTGCTCACACAAGGTGGAATGAATTGCCTCCTGGCCGCGCATGTGCAGTGGAAGTAAACAGGCTCCATGCACAAGGAATGAAATGCTGTCTTGTTTGTGCATGCTCAGTGGAATTATACAATGAAAAGATTCCCAGGTTCGGACCCCAGGCTCAGTTGTGGATCCAACTACCATGATCCCTGGGGCTGTGCTGTTGAATCGGTTCCAAGGCTATAAATCGTTACAGGTGTAAAAAGCCTCATCTTTCTCCTACAGAGCAGTTGGTGGACTCAAACTGCTAACCTTGCTAGTTGTAGCCCAGCTATAAACCCACTATGCCCCACCATGCTTAGAAGATACTTAAAATATCCTTGAGAAAGAAATGCCCAGATGTCCATTGAAACCTTTCTATCTTATTTTCATACTGTGCAAATTTAATATTCATATCTAATAAAGTATGAACAATGTTGAGTACCCTTATTCCTAGCATACATACGAGGGGGTTTCAGCCAATTAATAAATAGTTCAAGCACAAAACAGATGTTGTCTCCTCAGCTTCATTCAATACTGGTGGTTTTCATACTGTTACTGCTATTGTGTGCACTCAGCTTGATTCCAGCTCAGCGGTGACCCCACGGGACAGCGCTGCCCCATTTGGGGTTTCTATGCTGTCATCTTCATGGAGAGGAGATCCGCTAGTACAGAGGCTAAGCGCTGGGCTTTAGCCAAAAGGTAAATGGTCTGAAGCCCCCAGCTGCAGTTGCACTTGTGTACACAGGCATGTCTAATCTGTCCTGTAGGTTCTCTGTGAGGTGGAACCAATTCAATGAAAATGGACAGGTCAAACTTCACTGGAGATCACGAATGAAGCTTTTGTGCTACAGAGCCACGGGACAGTGTGAAGTGCCAAGCTTTCTTTCAGTTAGCAGCCAAGGGCATATCCAATGACTGAGCCTTAGTTATTTCTCCTCAGAACTGCCTGCCAGAGGTATGCTGACCAGTTCGCTGTTCCTTCTCTGGCTCAATTTGTTGTTGTTGTCAGGTGCCATCGAGTCAGAACCGACTCATAGCGACCCCATGCACAGCAGAACGAAACAATGT